AGAGAGAGAGAGAGAGAGCGAAAAGGAAGGATAGAAAGCGCGCTAGGTCGTGGAAAGCGAAGGGGAAGGAACGAGATGAAGCTCTCAGCTCTGCTCAGCTCGCAATTGTCGTTTCCATAGTGATTTATAGAGCCTCAAGAGCCTCGGCCTGGAGCATTCTAACTATTCTAAAGCGAAAAACCGGACCGGTGTGAAACCGATCCGAGAAATAGGCACAGGTGCATTCTATCGGCGACATCACGAACCTACGACAAATCATACGTCAGATTCAAAATCGCAAAATGTAATTACAGCGCCATCTGATGAGATTAAAATTTAGATAATGATTGAAAATAACTGTAAATTAATTAGCGAATTCCTGAATCCTGTTCACAGAGGTGTCGTTAGAACAACTCCGAAGCCTTGACAATTTTTTGTATTTTAGTATAAATTTTAGTATAAATTTAATAAACATTTTGTTTGAATCTTATCTACATCATAAGCAAAAATGTCTATTGGCGCACAAACAAAAAATATACAATTATTTAATCATTACAGTAACTGTAATATGTGTACAGATAAACTTTATAAATACTTCTGAAAAACATGGATAAAAAACAAAATTATATCACATGCGGTTCCTATACAATTCTTAGTTTGGAATTTTAAATTGCAAAAATCTAAATTCTAAAAATCGACAAAATAGTTATTAATTTAATTTTTAAGCGACATTTTTAATTATATAATTCATGTATACTTTATATTATTATAGTGTAACAATAAAATTAAAAAAAAACTTGATATTCCTTTATTGAAAAATACAAAATACAAAATATTTTTCAAAAATATATAAAAGCTTATTAGATTCTGCAGAAGATATCGCTCTTAAGGCAAAAATTAAATAAAAGTAATTAATCTTCTGGTTTGATTGACCTGCCATACGTTTAACGCTTCGTATTCTTCGATGCATTTGTACACTGGATCGGGTTTGAACCCTTTGCTCGTACATCGCTCCAGAATATCCGATACTTTAACGGTTTTTTTATCGCCAGCGAGTTCCCGTATAAGTTGGAAGATTCTATTGATTGGATTCTGTTGCGCGTTAATGTTGCGTTGTTCAGAATAATTGATTGAATGTTTAGACATCTCCACTAATCTATTTGCTTCCGCTATGTCATCCTTATCGACCACGTTCGATAACCGCAATCGTGCTAATGCCGTCGATAATCGAAGAATAGCAAGTAGATTACGAGCAGAAGTAAATGTCTTGTCATGGCTGTTACGTGCCTCTTTACGCATTTCCACATAAGAATCTATAATAATGATATTCCAAAGTATTAATTCATATGTGGAATAAATTTAATACATTGAGTATTAAAAACTCTCAATATGATGTAAAAATGAATAAAATTTTAATAATATTTGTAATTGTATAGACAAAGAAAAAATCCAATTAAACTCGGCATTCAATGTATTAATACATAATGTAATAAAAATAATACTTACAATACTAATATTTTATAATTCATATTAAAATAACATGAGGTTATATATACATAAGATTATTATAAGTACATACCCACAATGTATTCTGTTAATTCTTCTGATACTACAGGTTCCTTCGTTTTACACAGGTTTATATACTTTCTTATCAATTTCATGTCTATAGCTTCCGTTTCCGTTGGAGGTTGCGAGCAATGTTGGTGAACATACGTAATATGCTTTGCGAGTCTAAAAAGGACGGAGGGGGGGGGGATACTAGTATTTAATAGCAACATACAAATATTACATATTATTAAAGCTATTATTTAATTCAAAATAAGAAATAATAGCGATTTGTAATACAAAAATTAATAAATATTACTTCTTTCTCTTAATGCTCAATACTTACTTAAGATCATTACTTCGATCAGCGCGGTCTTGAATAAGCCACAATAAGTCAAATCGCGACAGCAATGCAGCAGGCAATTGAATATTTTGTTCAACCGTTCTCTGCGGATTGTATCTACCATACGCCGGATTGGCAGCGGCCAATATAGAGACTCTGGCATTTAAACGAGCCATTATACCAGCTTTGGCAATAGATATAGTTTGTTGTTCCATCACCTCGTGGATTGCTGTTCTATCAGCATCAGCCATTTTATCAAACTCATCGATACAACAGACTCCTTGATCGGCCAATACTAAAGCTCCACCTTCCAGCACCATTTGGCCCGTTAAAGGATCCTTCATGATAGCAGCAGTCAAACCCACGCCGGATGATCCACGTCCTGTGGTATACTGCGATCTTGGAGCCAATCGTGTAATATAGGATAATAATTGTGACTTTGCCACACCAGGATCTCCCATTAAGCAAATGTTAATATTGCCTGAAAGGGCAATAAAATTATTTTGATATTTACTGATATTATAAAAGATATAGGTATATTAAGACATATATTAAGTTTTTATATTGCATAAATCATAATATTTTTACCTCGAATTTTAATATCGCCTTTCTTCTTGTCCGTTCCACCAACGAGAAGCAAAAGCAATGCCTTCTTCACATCCTCAAGTCCATAAATTTCAGGAGCTAAGGAACAAGCCAATTTGTTGTAAAAATCATCTTGCACTAACAGACTCAATTCTTCATCGGTTAATTCTGCATTACTTTCATCTACTGTATCTACATTATTCAAGCATATTACTTTCTGAAATCAAACAAAAAATTAATTTTGTATCAATAAAAGACTATGGTAATTTTCAAGAAATAATATAATTTATTCTCACATGTGCATCCAAGTAAGTTTCACTGGAAAGCGCAGGACCTGATCGAGCGTTAAATCCGGTTTTCAGAAAAGGCAGAAATACACCGGTTATAATAACATGATCCCCGGGCAGACAAGTTCTCGTCGTTTCACCGCGACAAAAAATAGTCAACGATCGTGGTATATGACCAACCGGGACTTGCTCGCTCTATAAAATGTAAAGGTTAATATAAAAGAATTCATTTAAAAAATGAATAAGAATTTATTTTAACAAAATGTACTTAAATATTGTTTATAACTTTACTTACGTGTTCTTGTAACTTTATTTCTTGAAATTTGATAAATTTGGAACCCTTTGTCTGCAAATACAATCTGCCACCAGATTTGTTAACGCGACATCCATCACTCGGACATGTTCGTATTGGCATAAAGCTTAAAGAATGCACCTATAATAATCATGTAAAAATTAAAAAAGAAAATATATTGTTTGATTATATTTTAGATATATAAAAAAAAATAATCCGAGAAAATATCAACTTTTTTTACCGGCTGGCTCACTTCTGAACCACATTCATCACATGTATATGTCGCCACAACTATCATCGGTTTTACCTCAGTAGCTTTAGTAACAATACCTCTAACTGTTACCAGTTTTCCAATCTTATCTGCTTTGATATCTCTCACTGAATATGCCTTTGCATCAGAGAAATTTTTAAAATATACTTCACTAAAAGATTTAGATTACATTCATGATTTAAAATAAATCTTCAAATTGATAAATATTAATAATTTTTCTTACAAACGGCGCATCAATTCAGGAGCATAATTAACTTTAGCATTATTTTGAGGTACACTCTGAGGTCTATTACGTAATTCCATCATTAATCTATGCTCAGTATATACATCCAAAGGATCCTTAGATAGGACAATTCCTTCCTTAAAATCAGGTAGCATTTCCTGAACTAGCTGCATTAAAAAAATTCACAATTAATCTTTGCAACAAACTTATTTATTTATATAATAGATATTTAAATTCATTTATATAATAGATATTTAAACAACAAATGTAAACTTTCTTAAGAATTAAATATCTATAATTTATATACAACAATCTTACATTCAAAACTAAATTAGTATATCTCCGCGTATTATTGGCAATAGATGTGGCTAATTCCTCATCAAACGACTGTACATCGTCTAGATCAATCTCAAAACTAATTTGTTCCCTATGTGCTATCTTGGTAAGCTGCTGTCTATACTTAAAAATCTTATTTTCTGTTGTATCTTCCATTGTTACGAATTCCAGAAAAAAGGTTTTCATTTGTTCTAAAATATATTTGTAATAAATATTTGTAAATTAATAAATTAGTATTGTCAAAAATTGGGTACACAATTAATCAGTCTGAGAAATTTTACAAAAACTTTACCTTTGTCTTTTGTATAATCTCTTGCTACTTTATTCGCCATTGTTTATGAGTTTTAATAAACACAGCTGTATTTAAAATTTATTCTGTCAAATACACACTTTCCTTTTTCTTAAGTGTTCTCTCTCTCGACGAGTATTATAAAACATTCGTCTCACTATCCCGCGCAAATTGAAAGCATAAATTGTAAAATATCTTGATAAGAAACTCTAATAAATGAAACGAACCTTGAAAAAGGCTTCCATAGATCTTATATATCTGGATGCGCTTTGTCACTAAAATCAAGGAACCGAGTTGATAGAGCGAGAAAGGAATTACTTTTTTTACTTGAATGAGATACTGCGCAAGCGCATATTTTATCTTCTTTTAATATTTAGTAAATAATAAGGAAGTAAATAAAAGATAATAGATCTATTCCATATAATAGGTCTATTCTTTTTTGCTGAATTTCTTGCACGGTTCATCTTTTCTCTTTTTTCCATATGTCGTATTTGCGATGAAAGCGCCGCTTGAAGATTATCACTAGTCGATAAATATCGATTGGTAATGCTCTAACTTCATGTGCCTCGTGTATACACATGGCACATGTTTTGTTGATTAGCACGTTGATACTTCAAAATTTGATATAAAAGTCCCGTTAAGATGGGTAAAGCGAAGAAGATTAAGGTATCTAAGGGTGAAACCAAAGAACCGAAAATAGGTTTGGCGGAACAAATTGAACGCGAGAAAGCAGTGAAGGTTAAAAATCGACAAAAATTTAGACGTCGAGCCGATGATGATGAAGAGGTTGGTTCTTTTAGAGCATTTTCTTTTATTGTATTTTTTATTCCTGTGAAGTTAAATAAAAATAAATAGAAATTTCTTGAAAAACATATTAAAAATTCTTTTATTTAATGTGCACCTACATTTTTATTTTAATTGTAATTCGAATTATTTCTTTGTTCAGTACGTAGCATCGACTCTGACGAAAAAGATCTTATCGCAAGCTAGACAACAGCAACTAGAGTTAGAGGATGAGATTGGCCCTAGCGATTCTAAGAATACGAAAAAGCCAACGGTGAAACTTGATACTAATTTCAGTGATGACGAAGATCAATCTAATGATGACGAGCCAGTGGAGAATATATATTACTATGAGAATATTGAGATTGATGAAGATGATGAGCGTGCGTTGCAGATGTTCATGTCAAAGGATCCAGCACCTACAAGAACATTGGCTGACATAATAATGGAAAAACTGACAGAGAAGAAAACAGAGATTGAAACACAATTCTCTGATGCAGGAACTATTCAGCTACAGGATCTAGATCCACGGGTGAAAACAATGTACGAGGGTGTTAGAGATGTCTTGATGAAATATCGTAGTGGCAAACTACCAAAGGCATTTAAAATAGTACCTACTTTGAAAAACTGGGAACAAATACTATATATCACAGAACCACCAAAGTGGTCTGCTGCTGCCATGTATCAAGCAACAAGAATATTTGCTTCAAACTTGAAAGAAAAAATGGCTCAAAGATTCTATAATTTGGTCTTGTTACCACGAATCAGGGATGATTTAGCAGAATATAAAAGATTGAATTTCCACTTGTACCAAGCACTGAGGAAAGCATTATTCAAGCCAGCTGGATTTATGAAGGGAATCCTTTTACCGCTTTTAGAATCAGGAACATGCACACTCAGAGAAGCTGTTATCATTGGATCTGTGATTGCAAAAAATTCTATACCGATTCTGCACTCCTCGGCAGCTATATTGAAAATCGCGGAGATGGATTACACGGGAGCTAACAGCATCTTTCTTAGAATATTTTTGGATAAGAAATACGCGCTTCCATACAGAGTAGTGGACGGGGTAGTATTTCATTTTCTTAGGTAAGACACTTTCTTATGACAAATAAATAAATAAATTATTAACCTATTTATGTTAAATGTAAATATAATCTATTAGATTCGAGAGAGATACAAGAGAGCTGCCAGTATTGTGGCATCAAGCGCTCTTAACATTTGTGCAACGATACAAGAGTGATATTAGTTCTGAACAAAAAGAAGCCCTCCTAGGATTATTAAGGAAACAGTCGCATCATTCAATTACTCCTGAAATCAGAAGAGAATTACAACACGCGAAATGCAGAGACATAGAAGTTACAGAACCCAAATTAGAGTCAATGGATATTAAGGATACATAACACAATATATGTATATTGGAATATTGAAGCTCTTGTATAAAAATATTTGTTAACAATAATTATTGTTATAGGAGATATATTATTATTAACAAACATTTAAATCAAATTGAAGTTTTCGACAAATGACAGTTTGCAACAATTGCAAGATTTGAATTGTGTAAAAATACAGCTATATTTGGTCCTATACCTAATCAAATATTCTCGACTAATATTCGTATTATTTTTACAATTGCCACGTGTTGTAGACAGAAAAATATAGTATATAGAATAGCATATATAGCAGTCTCGTTAAAGATCGCGCACATTTGTACAATTATATTACATATTATAAATATATTGTGATATCTTAATATATACACGCACACATCTGAAAATAAATTTCCATTGCACTTAACAGTAATTCAATAATCATAAACAAAAATAACACAACTTGGAAAGTAATGAATGATCACAATTTACAAATTCACTTTGTATTATGTCGTTCATTTGATTTTTTTTTTTTTATTATTATTAGCTATTTATATTTCGGTTTTATCTTTAGGACTGAATATTTTTGAATCTTCATGTTTCATATCCTGAAATGCATGCTCTGAATCTAGAGCAATCTGTTGCTCCATAGAAATCGTTTTCGTTATTCTTTGCTCGGATAAATAAAGATTTGTATTAATCAGAGGCACTTCGGTTGTACTCGATTTAATTATTTTTTTTTCAGATTCTGGCTCTGCCTCTGATTTTTTTGAACTATCCTGCAATTTCGAGCAGGTTTCGCCGTTCGTATTGTCAGCATCTTTATTAAGAGACTCAGATTTTTCAGTCAAAACGCTATTTATTTTCACGTCGTTCATATTCACTTCTATATCGACATCTCTTTTTTCTCGTTCATTATTCTCCAAAATATCTCGACGTATAACGAGAACTTCTGGTTCACTTTTGTTTGGTGATGAAATGATTGCCTTATCCAATTTCGATTGATTTGTCATTTTTAATGCTATAGGTATTAAATATTTATCATCATATTTTCCTTGCAATTTGTCTGATGCGTTAGCAATTTCATTTATAAAAACCTCTCTCTTCTCTTCCTTTATCTGATTATCGTTCTCTTTAGCTAATCCTCCTTCCACAATAGATCTCTGTAAAATTCCTTTTGATAAAACGTTCAAGATAGGACCTTTCATATTTTTCGAGTTGTTAAATTCTATTCTTTTTATTTTTGTTTTATTTTGCTGTTCTTTTTGTAATGATTTCTCTGATGCTTCACGATCGGCTATTATTTCTTTAACAGCATTAGATTTATCTAACGTATTTTCTAATATTTTCTGTGTTTCTCCTATATCTTTATTTTGAATAATTTCCTTAAATGAATCTAATTTTTTCTTGTTATTTTCAACCATGGTGTTCGCATTATTTTCATCTCGAAGCTGTGATTTTTCGTTTAACTTTATTTTATCTGCAGTATCCCATTTCTTTTCTTCTAAAACTTCTTTATTATTTTCAATAATAATTTCATTGTGCTCCGCAACTTTTTCATTATTTTCTTTCAAGTTATTTTTGCTCTCCGGCAAGACATCTTTCGTATTAATCTTGTTCTTATTCTTTTTGAGAACCTCGTCCTGTGCCATTCTCTGTTTCTCCCTTTCAAACTCTTGTTTTTGTTCCTTGATGTCCTTTAAAATCTCCTTTTGCTCTTGCATCATCTGACGTTGTTCCAATTTATGTTTCTCCAATGTTTTTCTGAGTTGTTCATGTCGTTCCGCGGCTCTGGCATTAGCAATGTCTCCGTCAGCTGCCAACTCTGACTCCTCTTTCTTTATCGCGTCTAAATTAATAAGATTATCATTCTTCTGCAAATCCATAGACTGTTCTTTCTCCTCGATTATCTTTATCTTTTCTTCTGCTTTCAAAGTAATGGATTCATCGATTTTAGCGATTTCGGTATTTATGGCAACTTGTGATTGCTCATTTAAATTATCATTTTTAATTGGTTCAGCTATATTTTTTATTTCTGGCATAAAAGAGCCTACTACTATTTTATCAGACTTTTCGACATTTGGCTTTTCGGTAACAATTATACGTTCTACAGGTATTGGCGGCTCTTGTCGAACATCCTTCGCCTTTAAATCCAACGTTTTTTCGAGACTGTTTATTTCAGATAGTTGATTAATTTTATCTGGAATAAAATTAAAATTAAGAAAAACATAATAAGAAAGTAAAAGAGATAAATTTGCATAATTCTGTACCTTTTGCTCTGGGTATGAGTTCTAGACTATTAGGAATATCGGGAATGATATGCAAATCGTCCTTAATTAAATCTAATGGTAAATTATTGATTGGAACGAGCGGTTTATTAGTCACTGCTAATTTTATATTTGTAGACTCCTCCATGGCATATAAATTCGCGTATGTACCAAGAATCATAATCCAAACGCCGACGATTAAAATGCCCTAAATGCAAAATACATGTACAGAAAATTACAAGAAAAAAAACTTGGATTTGAGATTAAGGATAAAATTAACTTTACCTGTGCCACTAATCTTTCATTAGTATTTTTGCTACTTATAGATACGAAGAATACTGCCGGGAATATTAAACAAATCATTACTCCGATCGTTGAACCAACAATGCCGAGAACAAATTCTATGTTTGGCACTAAAATACCGATGAGCAGAGAAATGCTAACTATCACAATAGTCAAACATCGGAATCTGGATTCTGGTAAATAATTGACAGATGGTTCATGTGTATACACCTAACATAGCAGTAAAACATAAATAAGGAGTCGGAGCAATAACATGTACTTGTGCTTCTAAATTTATTTTAGAATATACATACTCGGCGAAATAAAAGAGAATTCAAGCTCGCACGACATGGAAATATGACTAGAGGAAAACTGAATGCGACCGAAAATACAAATCCCAGTTTAATCAGTTCTGATGTTATGCTAGGTTCTAAACTCAATAAAATATTTCCTGCAATGTAACGATAAGAGAGATTAATATGAAAATGATGACGTTGTAAGTTGTTTATTGTGTGATACGACATATAACAATTCTATTGAATTACCTGTGAATGATTGGGTACAGAATGCAACGTAACCAAACAAGCCAACACACATATATACAAGTGTACATATATTTAACGCTCCTCGTACAACGTCGTTCATCTTTTCTAAAGATACATTTGGAATGGTTTCATATATCTCAAATAATTGTGTTTGACAGAAAAGAGCCATAGAAAATATTGGCAAACATTGGAGGATACCTGCTGGTCTCCAATAATTAACACTGTTAAACCAATCTCCCATAAAAATGTGTAAAGTTGATTCACCTATGATCTGTTGAATGAAGGATAAAATATATTATTATTAGTGCTTGGATTCATATATATTTATGAATTGTAATTTGTGCAAAATTATACCTTCAACACAAGACAGAGATAGAAGACAATAGTAGCAGTGCAAATGCTAGACAGACTATCAATATTACGAAGTAGTCCCAAGGGAAGGACTATAAAGACTCCAGTAAAGATAAGCAAACTAGTACGAATGTCTGCTGGATTTTTGCTCATCATCTTGCCAATTATCTGTGGTCCCAGATCGCCAACAACGACGAAATAGGCAATACATGTTCCCAACATGAAGCCAATAATAAACAGTTCTGCCAAGAACTTTCCCATATGGCCGAATGCATGGAAGGCAAGCAGCTCAAAGTTGCGCCTTCTCGATATTACAGCCGATTTGACAAGAAAATGACAGGCCAGTCGAGACAAGGCACTGCACAGAAGCAGCACTAGAACTGCCAGTACAATACCACATTGTTTAAAGCAAAAGGGCATCGCCAGGACGCTCACACCTATAATGCTATTAGCGAGGGTCATCACATGCGACATTTGAGAAATCATTTTGAATATTCAGCTCGATCATCTGCGTTATAATTTTTCCTTATCCAACATGTGACAGGTTTTCTTTGAATATCACATTTCTATGAACTTCTGCAAATAGAAATGATATTATCAATAAAAGCGCTAAGAATCACTCTTGGTTAATCTCTCTTGGTTTATCAAAATAAATGTTTTACTAACAGAAAATATTGCGTTGCGTTGTTCTTCTAATTCGCAAACTGATTTCACATCAGTTTCATGCGAGTGACCGCGCGGCATAAATTATTTTCCCGTCTGTGAACGAGGTTAATCTTGCGAGATGATCAATATAAATGCCACGCACCTCGAATCAATTTGCGCCAGTCGCGCTAAAATCCTTATCATTTTTTTTCCTATTAAATTATACGTCATACCTTGGTAGTAAAGTATACCGTACCAATGACAATTGTCAAGACACCTGCCGGCTTCTCGAGACTGCCACCACTTTCGTCATTGAGCGTCATCAGATGTAAAGCGACAATGTGCATACACATACATGATACATATGTGTCATGCGTGTATATAATACTTACGAAGAATGTAGCTATACATATGCTTAAACATGTGTTTAACTATTAGCGTTTAACTATTAGAATTCGGTCACATACATCATACTATATTGGATTAATGCACATTAAAGACTGCTGCGTGTAAAATCTTATGTAAAAAATAATAATACAATCTCTTTAATGATGAAATTATTAATCATATTCTGTTAAATAACATAACATAAATTATTATTGATAAATTATTTATATAATTATTTAAAATATTTATGTAGTTTTATATTTTCATAACAACATTTCCTAACAGCTTCTAGAGTGCATTAATCTAGTGCAGTACAGGTAATCAAATTCGCTACATAAATTTTAAAATTTGTCAGAAATCCTTTCGGATTTGTAAAAAAAAACATTCAAATCCCAAAACTACATATATAGATTTCTTTATTTTTTTATTATAAATATTTAAAAACGTCCATATATGTACTCTTATGTGTGGACATAAATACCTAATACTTGATCTGTACTGTATCTCGAATTGACTTACATGAAATACACGAAATATCCTTTATGAATTTGCTTTCGTGTGTCATGTCGATCAATTACATATTACAGATTATTACAGGTAAAACCGACAACGGTCGCTAGTACAATCTGATTGAGTACTCTGGCATTGTAGAAAGGAGGACGAATTTTATGTACATAAAATGATCAGTACATAATTATTGCTCTCGTAAATGAGTAATGAGAACATAATATAGAGATTTTGTAATAAAACTTTCATCAATCTACATATGCAAACTTGACTTTTGAAATGACATCATGTCTTTGAGTTCTTGTTACAAAGATTGATTTAGACGCCATGAATAATTTTTTTTTCATATTTCCCTTTTATATATAAATATAAATTAAGATAAATCTTACCTAATGTACGTTTAAGATACTACAATTATATATTCGAAATTGATTACATAATTTCTCAACTGCCCTAGTCTTACATTTTCTTTTCAATTTCGTTTCTGTTTGTCGATTTTATTTCTCTCTTACATATACATTACTCAAAAATATCAGAAGGATATCTCTTTCTTAGACATCTCTCTAATTTATTTAATCAGTAAATTAACTAGTAACAAGTTTGCTAGAAAGTGTAATCCAACAGATATAAACTGTCAATTCTGTTAGATTACAGTTATTTCATCTAGCCTTTTTTTTCTGAAATATATTACGAGCTAATATTACTGCAATTCATAAAATAGAAGGATGACCAAAATATTTGTTAATCTTTTGAGTAATGTAAGATACATAGTACTTTACATTTTCATAAAGATTATCATTACAGTATAATTATTGCATGCAAAGATCAATTTCCCTTAAGATCAATTTGCGTATTATGTACAAGAATAGGAAGCGAACAAATTTAACATATGATTTTTAAGAGCGAGGATTAAGGAATAAGCTTGTTCCAACTATAGTACATAAATTATGATCTCTGTTGAGCAGTTAATCAATCGCGAGAGCAATAACACGTATGAAATGATGTCGCATATGAATAAAACGCATATTATCAACATGCATTTACATACGTATCGTTCTATGTATTTTATATATGAATTTGATTGTAGCATTCGAGCAATAGAATTTCATATTCTAAACAGACCATCAATATTTTATAACCCAATCTTGGAATATTCATATGTGTATGTATGTATGTAAAATCCTTAGAATATTTATATAAAATCCTGTAACAGTCGCGATTTATCATGAATGATATCTTGTATGAAAATTAATTGAGTTATAAGTTGAAATGACAAATCACAAACAAATATGTATTTAAAAAAACCATGGTCAGATTATAAAATTCTGATGAATTGATCGCGGGACACTCTTAGTTCCGTGAATGCTGGGTACTTTAATCTTTGTGCGATACTTTCAATCACCTCCTGGAGAAACATATTTGAAAATATTCACAAATACGCTTCAAGATTCCCAACGGTCTAAATTGCAGGATATTATAAGCTACATACACGCTCATACGTGCAATTTCGACGAAGCTGGATGACGCTTCGTGAATGAAACTGATATTTCTAAATATCTAAACATTTTCAAGATTTTCAATAAAAACATGATTTTGAATTAAAGGGCGCGCGCGAGGTAGAGGCAGCAGATATTTATGCACATTATGTGCTGCCATTATGTAAGTTATTTAAACTTATTCATTACTTAATTTAAATAAGAGTTTCTCCATTTTCTCAGATGCTCCGGGGCAATCATCTATCAGGGATTCGCGCCACCATCTTTCTTGGTTTCCTCATTTGTGGGGTTTATTTTTTCATCCTTTTCATTATCTATGTAAAAAAAAAAATTATATTTTTTTCTCTACTATATTTGTTTATAATTTAATAAATACCTATAATAATTTAATATATACCTTTCGGTTCTGTCTTTATATCTTCTTCTTTCTTTATATCAATATCCATGGCTTCTTGACCTTTTTCTAAACGGGGCCGCTTTCTAGATCCCTAAATGATCCCCATAATTAACATGAGAAACAAAATAAGAATATCTATGTATCTATTTTTTCTGTATCTCTGTTGAATTTTGTGTGTGTGTATAAAATTAAATTTACATTTATTTAGCAGATTCATACCTTATATGATCTATTATCTCTTCGCCCACCTTCGCCTTCATCTTCACTATCACTATATTCATTTTCATGTTGTATTCTTTTATCTAGATCGCGTTGAGGCAATCTATCATCCGGATTTACCTTTTCTTCAGCTTCCGAATCCTCAATAACAGCACCATCCTCTGGTATTGCCTGGATTTGTACGCCAGGTGCATGAGGTAGCATTCTTAAATTGTCGAAGAGCCTTGTTCTATAATTAAATATAATCATGAATTAATTCACTTATAATATACATAAAATTGAACACACAGAAATACAAAAATGCTTACTTTATTTTCTCCAAGTATTCAGGAGTATTTTGATTTGCCATATTTGAAGGACTAATATGTAATTTAAAGTCGGGACCAAAATATTCAAAGTAATCATTGTACGGCAATTCATTAGCAATTTCGCAACCAAGAGCTACCGATGTTTCATATGTCCAACATCTGGATACATTTCGGATGGTATAACCACCACCACCGACCATCAAAAACGGTAAATTATATTTTTTTACAAATTCAACACATTTGCCGTGACCCCTCACGGTCAAATTAAAACATCCTAATCGATCGCCTACATTAATTAATATTTATATTAGTTGTTGTGCAATTTGTATTGTAATAATAATTTCTTTTAAATAATCTTGCCTGTCAATGAATCAGCTCCACACTGTAAAACAACAGCAGAAGGCTGAAACGTTTCCATAACTTTTGAGATAATAGGGACGAAGATTGATTCATAGCTCTCGTCATCCATACCATCTCTTAAAGGTATATTAACCGCGTAATACTTTCCCTGTTAATAATAAAAAATATACAATAATAATAATTTATGATTTGATAGTTTTATATAAATAAATAATTATTTCCAATAAATAAAGTTGTACCTTTCCTGCTCCAATATCACGAAGATCTCCCGTTCCAGGGAAATACTCTCCATATTTGTGAAATGAGACTGTCATCACTCTATCCGTTGTATAAAAAGCTTCCTCTACACCATCACCATGATGAACATCAATATCAATATACAAAACTCTCTGATGATATTTCAGTAATTCCAAGATTCCAAGTACAATATCATTTACATAACAAAAACCAGAAGCTTCACTCTTCTTCGCATGATGTAAACCACCACCCCAATTGATACAAATTTCTGAAGCTTGCTTGTTGAGCTTCACAGCAGCAGCTACAGATCCACCAGCTGATAATTGACAAAACTCATACAAACCGTCAAAAACAGGGCAGTCTTCTCCTACGTTAACTAATGGATCGAGAAGAAAAAATTATAAATATTTTCAATTTGGCTATTATAGGCTTAGGCTGGGATAAGCTTAAGACTTACATCGTTGCATTTGCTTGTTGTATTCTGACATATTATCTGGCCGTATTGATCTCAAAAATCTAATGTATTCATCACTATGAAATTTTGTCATTTCATCTGCAGTTGCTTTATGAGGCCGCTAATCAGGAATAGAATATGATTACAATACTCTGTTATATTCAACAATATAATAAAATATAGTTAATAGAAAAATATATTTACATATATTTCCATCTTTCTATAAAGACCATAGTTCAAAAGTAGATTGTGCGTCATCCTTATGCGATGCGGCTTCATAGGATGTCCTTGACCATAATAATAATTTCCAATATCGCCTAGAGAAATTAAAGAAATATGTATATAAGTAAAATATGTATATAAGTAAATCAGCGTGGTATCGAAAAATCACGAAATATTTGTCCGAGATTAAGCAATACGACTTCGATGCGCTGGAGTGCACTTGAGAATCTCTCATCGTTATCTACGTGAAAATTGTATTAACTTGTAAGACATTCACCAAAATACTGATTTTAACGGAAAACATTAATGACAAGCGTGAATTATATTCGAGAGATAACTTTTTGTAATTCATATTAGTCAATAATCTCATAAAATCTCAAATTTCTCATAACTTAACCTATCATCACCTGAAATTTAAACTATCTGTTCCGTTTTTCATAACAAAACATTGTCTCATAATTAAGAGGAATCACAGTTTTAAGCATAATGTATGTAATTATCGTTACATATGGCGAAATATATTTGAAAATTCACGGCTTATGGAATGTTGACGTTCAATTACATGATCCGGTTTTTATACAAAGCCTATGAATAGGCCGAATTTCATTGATTATCAGTCACTATCGTGAAATAAATTATAAAATTGTTAGTATAGTAAGAAATATTGATTTGATAACATCAAAGGTTCTCGAATATACGATAGATATACACGTAAGATATATATTGCTATATATATATATATATATATATATATATATATATATATATATATATATAGCAATGGCCGACGCTCTTGCAAGCTTGACTATGATCGCACGTAGATACACCTGAGAATCTGTCGGTTTAACTCTATAAAAATCGTATTATCTACATTGAGAAGTGTGAGAATAACAATGTAGCGTGCCATAACAACTACGTTTGAACGTATTTATCATTGGCAAGTCGTAGATGAGCCACTATATGATTGATTGCTGAACTAGATCATATGAAATAAACGCGGTACGCATGGACAGCGCAAACACATTTCACAAGCTTCCCCCAACGCGTGCGTGTATATGTATGTGTGTGCGTGTATATGACGGCGTTTTTCGCGGGATCACGAAGTGCGGTGAATTCTCTCGGTAACTTACTATCATAATAGTAGCAAACACGTTTCTTGTTGTGCGGCTGCATGGACATTTTTACGGGATCCATTTCAATGAAATTGACTAAACGCTCGACACGGAATTAAACGGGGACCGCGGAGTGTCGCTGCTCTCACCACAGATACAGCGTCGCTAAAACGACCGCACGCGCAGGCGTCGCATACTCGTTTGTGCGCTCATATCAAGTAACAAAGTTACAAGCTTGCCATGAAGATGGCATTGCGACGTGATGCTTCTTCGATCATAGATATCACGTTAGCAAGAGCAGAGATCTAGAATGTAAAATTATGGATATAAGAGATGACTAGATCGCAGAGTGCGTACATGTAGTAGTTCTATATAAGCCATACAAAAAATTTAAGTAGTAAAATGTGCAGAATTCCACATCCGATATATAATCCGATATCCAATAAGAAAATTCACTTTTTAGTGTTCCTAGATAGTAACTCTTTTGTCTGAAGCAAGCAATATATAGCAGCAAACATATTCTTTTATTGGATATGGACGTCATACACAATTGCCGGTCACACTGTGAATCCTGCAAAGTAAAAATATTGACCAATCACAGATGATCATTTCTCGATTGTAAGTAAAGCGGCACTCGATGATTTTTTGCTACTGGTTTGCTAACTGGATTTGCGTGCTTACTGAACTACTCTTATCTTCAATTGGTATTTTTTTAGATCTAAAAGAATATACCAATTAAAGACAAGAGCTCAGCAAGCGAATCCAGCTAGCAAACCAGCAGAAAAAAAAATATCGTGTGCCGCTGGCTTAATAATGGAGGATTGCATGAATTCATCGATTGCAACCTGAAATTGGAATACTTATATTCGTTAAATTAAATGATTGACTGGCAAAATGTCTTTGTTAATTCGAAGATACAAACTTGACAGTCTTTTACGATACGTGAAATTCGTCAATTCGATAAAATTTCACGAGTTATATATTTTACCATTAACTAACCTAATTTTGATTTCGAGAAATTTTTGTAATACACATGCGAAATCGAATATTTCAAATCAAAGTACTAAGAAATTTTTAGATTATCTCGCGAATGAATATAAAAACAAGTCTTGGGAAAATAAAAACTTAACCGAATTTATCGACTTGAAGAGTTCTGGAAATTTACTGAATGAAAGATTACAACTTATAGACAATATTCAAAATTTACATGATTTAGGTAAAGTATGCTTGTTATGATAATTGAAATGATTACTGATCTTATTTATAATGATTATAAATTTTTGTTATAGTACAACAAGATGTAGAAATGAAAAAGTTGGCACAAGAAGAAGAAGCATTATATAAGAAGCAACTTGATCAACTTGACAAGAGATTATTGGATATGATATTAACAAATGTCTACAAAACTTCCTACGATAATATTATTATTGAAATAACAGCAGGTGTTGGTGGTCAGGAAGCAATGCTATTCGTCAAGGATTTATATGATATGTACATAGGTTACATTAAATATTTAGATTTAAAGTATGAAATAATCAATATAGAAACAACTGACAACAATGGCATTAGACAAGTTAGTATTATGATATCTGGTGACCAGACTGCCAAATTTCTACATGAGGGTGGTGTACATCGAGTACAGCGGATACCAGTAACAGAAAAATTAGGCCGGATACATACTAGTACTGCTTCAGTGGTAATCTTACCAGTGCCATTAGAAAAAGAGATTGCGATAAATAAAAAAGATCTGAAAATAGAAACAAAAAGAGCATCTGGTGCAGGTGGTCAACATGTAAATACCACTGATTCTGCAATAAGAATAACACATATGCCAAGTGGGGTAGTTGTGACTTGTCAAGTACACAGAGCGCAAGAAAAAATAAAAAAATGGCGATGAACAAATTGAAGAGTATCTTATATGATCAGCAATTGAATAAGCAAACGTCGTTTATTAGCGAGCTACGGCAGAAGCAGATGGGAATGAAACTGAGAAATGAGAAGATCAGAACATACAATTATAACCAGGATCGTGTGACCGATCATAGGCTGGGTCAGAATGGAACATTTTATAACTTAATGGAGTTTATGCAAGGTGGAGCAGCTTTAGAAGAATTGGAAAATAGATTATATGAACATATACAAATGCAAACTTTGCTAGAAATAATAAAAAAAATTAGAGACACAAGATGATTTTAGTCTTCTCTAAATTTATCATTTTTCATATAAAAGAGCTTTTATATAGATAAGTCATTGTATATATTACAGTCAAATCTAATCATCTAAATACATCTTCATTGATTTTTTGACGATTTTTTTTAAATTTGATAATACAGGCTGATTTAGTTATTTATATGTATATGTATATATATATATATATATATATATATATATATATATATATATATATATATATATATATATATATATATATATATATCTATTATATATATATATATAATATAAATGATTTTGCACATGTATTACTCTTTACTGTTCATTAAAGACTATTAGATTAATTAATAAGGAAAATATAAATATCTTGAATAAAATATCTAATGTTAATATTATCGCATTTTTATAATTTATCAAATGTTTTATCAGTTAACGATTTACATTCTGAGAATTTTATGTACGTATTATGTATGTCGCTATAGCTAATAGAATGCAAAAAGTTAAATACTTATATTATTTTAATTTCGAGATCATTATTTATAAGTCTTTACAATATTCAAATAGAATCAATGTGTGTTTATTAAACAGAAATTTGCTAATAAACATATGGGATTTTGTATTTATTTTTATCTTAATATAAGACAATTTTTATTTTAACTGCGTACTTTAATACACGCAATTTTATTTATCTCGTTAAATACAAAAGTACAAATATCGTAATATACAAAATCCATACGTTCATGATTGCATCTTTTGAATCGATCGGTGTTTTCTCTAAACTCTCGTAATAATCGTGGAAGTCCTCGTCTCACTGCTATACACCATATTTCTTTATATATTTGAATTCTTACATGTCTTATCTTTTCCTAAATGTAAGCAGATTGCATATGCACACGTACATACATACACACATACACAACACTTATACACTCAACACTGTCTCTAAAGAGATTTCCGTATGCAGAATGACAGCAATTTTATTAAAAAACCTATTTCTTATTCCTTCATTTAAATAACCTAAATTTACCCATAATTATTTTTTAACTTAACTTTTGTACTGTGCAGATATGCGAATCTGAAGCATCTGCTTATCAGAGATTAGCTCCACTGTCTTTCTTTATTTCTTCATTCATAAAATTTGCTTTCTCGTCTTTTTCATTTTCTAAATAAACAAATATTTATAATTATTATATTTCTGAATACAATTTATAAAAGTAAAATAAAAAATTTATTTAATACCCTTCAATTCTGATTTTATATCATCTTCTTTCTTCATATTAATATTCATAATACGAATGTCCATTTCTTGATTTTTTTCTAAACGTAATCGCTTTCTAGATCCCTTTAATTTGAAAAAATGTTAGAAATGTTAGAATTATATCTACATTATATCTTTTAGAATTTGCAAAAGAATTGTTAAGTGAATAAATATAAGGATTATACCTTGTATGATCTATTATCTCTTCGTCCACCTTCACCTTCTTCTTCACTGTCGCTATATTCGTTTTCATGTTGTATCCTTTTGTCTAAATCACGTTGAGACAGTCTTTCATCAAGATTCAATTTTTCTTCAATTTCTGAATCTTCAATAATAGCACCATCCTCTGGTATTGCCTGAACTTGTACGCCAGGTGCATGAGGTAACATTCTCAAATTTTCAAACAGTCTTGTCCTACAATAATAAACATTTACATGGATTTATTCATGACAAATACAAAATATATATAAATATATAAAACTGAAAATTTAAACTTGCTTTATTTTCTCCAAGTATTCGGGAGTATTTTGATTCGTCATATTTGAAGGACTAATATGTAACTTAAAATCCGGGCCAAAATATTCAAAATAATCATTGTATGGTAATTCATTAGCAATTTCACAGCTAAGAGCTACCGATGTTTCATACGTCCAACATCTAGATACATTTCTGATAGTATAACCACCACCTCCGACCATCAAAAATGGCAAATTATACTTTTTCACAAATTCAACACATTTACCATGACCTCTCACAGTTAGATTAAAACATCCTAATCGATCACCTGCATTAATATTTATGTAATAGTAAAAGTTATGTAATTTTATAGTAATATAATAATTCCTTTTGAAAAAAAATCTTACCTGTCAATGAGTCAGCACCACACTGTAAAACAACAGCAGAAGGCTGAAATGTTTCCATTACTTTTGAGATAATAGGGACAAAGATTGAATCATAGCTCTCATCATCCATACCATCTCTTAAAGGTATATTAACTGCATAATATTTTCCCTGTTAATAAAAAATACAATTTTAATGATAATTTATCATTTGATAGTCTTATGTACACATGTACACATGTAAATAAATATTTCCAATGGATTTTTTACCTTTCCTGCTCCGATATCACGAAGATCTCCTGTTCCAGGAAAATATTCTCCGTATTTATGAAATGAGACCGTCATTACTCTATCTGTTGTATAAAAAGCTTCCTCTACACCATCACCATGATGTACATCAATGTCAATATACAAAACTCTCTGATGATATTTTAATAATTCCAAAATACCAAGTACAATGTCATTCACATAGCAAAAACCAGAAGCTTCACTCTTTTTTGCATGGTGTAAACCACCGCCCCAATTGATGCAGATTTCTGAAGCTTGCTTGTTAAGTTTTACAGCAGCAGCTACAGATCCACCAGCCGATAATTGACAAAATTCATATAAGCCATCAAAAACAGGGCAATCTTCTCCTACGTTAACTATTCCATAAAAAAAGTATTAAAATTTTTTAAAATATTGTTGTTATTATATTCAAAGTGCTAATGTCTTACATCGATGCATTTGTTTATTGTATTCTGCCATGTTATCTGGTCGTATTGATCTCAGAAATCTGATATAGTCATCGCTATGAAATTTTGTCATTTCTTCTGCTGTAGCTTTATGAGGGCGCTAAATTATAATAAGACACAAATATACCAAATGTAACCCATATCTAGCAAATCAATTAAATATGTTTTGAACTTGTTATAGTATGGTATACAAACAAGAGATAATGACGGAAATAAAAAATCATACAGAAATTCTTACATATATCTCCATCTTCCTATAAAGGCCATAGTTCAAGAGTAGATTGTGCGTCATTCTTATACGATGTGGTTTCATAGGGTGTCCTTGGCCATAATAATAATTTCCGATATCACCTAGATAAATTGAAACGACATACATAACGAAATCAAGGCACCGTGTAAAAAGTCTCAAATTGTCATTATCAATTAATTGATTTGTTCAGTAAGGATTACAATATGCCGGAATACATTTGAGAATCTCCCGCAATTTTCTAAAAAAAATGTATTAATTTCCAATACATTAATTGAATTATCGATTCACACGGAAAATATTTTTGAAAGACATAAAATATTTCCGAAAAAAATAACGCATTACAATTGCAGTGATATGATAACATAAGAGAATCTCGTATATACGATAGCTGTGTAATTGAGAATGGCTGACGCTACAGTCACACGATAATACAGCTGAGAGTCTCTCGGTTTAAAGCCATAAAAATCATATTATTAGATATAATAACCTGCAAATCTCAGTTTGTCGTACCGAAATAATTGTCTTTTGTATTATTTACTATGAATTAGCAAAAAATAGATCAATTAGTAGTCAAATATTAAGCTAGAACCAAAGATTTGCATTCATAAATGCAAGCAGTGCAAATTTCGACAAACTTCCAAAGTATACTTTCAATGATTTTACAATGATTTTCTCGATACTTACTGTCATAGTAGTAGCAGACCCGTTTCTTGAGCGGCTGCATGGCCATTTCTGTGGGTTCTGCCCCAGTTAAAATCGAATAAAGTATTTAATACAGAATTTGACGAAGACCATGAGCAGTAACACGTACTGACAACTACTGGACTGTATATGACATTCGAATTCACTCGATTTACTTGCACTTCAATGGTCGAGAGCAGGATTGAGCACTACATTTAGAAACATTACCCGAAAGTCCCATATATTATTTTATCCTTGTTATTCACCAAATGTTAAACAAGAATGGGAATACTCGAGTGATATTTCTGAACGCAGTTTTCATTGGAAGATGGAAGATGCTCGTACATACATGCGCAGTAAAAGGTGCGATCTACTTGCTGCTACAAAACTTTGAAACATTTGATTAACCAATCAGAACCAAAAATATTATGAATTGACTAATCAAAGTGCTTTAAAGCACCAAGTGAATCACACTCAAAGTAACCACTAGTTATATTGTAATGGAGGATTTACATTTAACCTCATGGAATCATTTTATCTTTATTATTTAAATATTAAACAAGAATAAATAATATTCTGTGCATTATTTGTTCTTGTTTCTAATATCTAAATAACAAGCATTGTAAGCATAAATCGAGATGCAATCCAGCTTAGTCGAAATACGTAATCTATATTTATCATATCTATGATCGAATGTCAACATGAAAAGGTATCTTAATATTTTCGAAGACTTATAAGATTTAAAGGTTATGTGAATTACAATTGTAAATTAATTTTAAATAAAACAACATGATTTCTGCTTCTGCTTTACAAAAAGTTGCAATGACGTTTGTTATCAGTAAATTTTACAAACCATGTTTTCGAAATATAAGCAAAAGTTTTTCCGATAAATCTGTAACAGTTAACATTGCGGTGGAAGATGATATGGTAAGAATACATTTCTAAATATACAGTTATACATTGAAAATCTAAAATATATTATATGTAATAGAAACTATAGATTCCATCAATATATTTTGAAATGTATTTTAAAAATATATGATTATTTTGTAATTATATTGATAAATGGAAACGTCTCTATATAAAATTTTATTACATGTTTTATATAGAATTTGGTGTTGTGATAATATATTTATACATTTTCTTCATATTTATAGCCTACTAAAATTAAAAATCCTTTTGTAAAAGAAAAGCAACAGTGCATTTTATGTAAATTGAATATTGAACCAGATTATAAAAATGTAAGATTACTTTCACAATTTCAAAGTCGATACACAGGCAGAATATATGGAAGACATATAACTGGATTATGTAAACACAAACAGATGCGAGTAGAAGAAGAAATTATAAAAGCTCAATGTGCAGGTATATATCCAAATTCAGAAATAGAATTATAGAAAATAATTTTAAAATATAACTCTACATTTATTTCTTATATTTTAGGTTTAATGGGTCAGTGGACTAAAGAACCAGAATATATCAAAGATCCAAAGCTATTTGATCCAAATCATCCATTTAGGCCACACAAATATTAGACAAGTAATAATAGGATATTTATATAGATATATGTTTATACATAAATAAAATTATTGCATTATATAATTGCATTTACATCAATTATCACCATTATACCATGTTCGAATAAAATTCCTTGTGTAAAATATATTACATATTCATGTTATGAGTGAAACCTCTATATCCAACATATATAATTATCTGTAACAAAGAAAGTTGTTTTAAAGTATTAATTAAAAAAACACAGATTGAATACTGAAATAATGTTAGAATATTGTACGAGTGAGTTTTGTACTTTTAAATAGCTGTAATATTAAAAATAGAGAAGACTATATGATCGAAATTTCCATATTTATATATATATATATATATACATATAAGGCTTGAAAATATTGTTACATATTTATAATAATTATAA